GCACAAGGCGTGGGCAAGAACAGTTGTTTCTGCCCTGTGACCCCACCCCAACAGAACACGCTCATTAGTCCATTAGATCCAGAGCTGCATTGCTCTGATACGCCTTCTAGTTGTTTCTGCCCTGTGACCCCACCCCAACAGAACACGCTCATTAGTCCATTAGATCCAGAGCAATGCAACGCCTTCTGATACGGGAAACTCATCTGAGGGCTGACAACTCCAGCAACACGCATAACTTCAGTTCATGACCATCAGCTTATTTTGTGTTCCAAATTATCAACTTACATACCAGTGTCACGACACAAGACTGAAAAACTGTTAATTGCTGAATAACACCGTCAGCGTAAGTGTGCTCTGATACTTCTCTGGGAATATACTAAGAGCTACTAAGTAAAATAGATTTACCTATTAATTGAAAACCTCTGAATAGCAAGACATTAGTGACATTTAAATTCCTTTTACAGATTATTTACAAAAAGATGACTTATTCATACAAATACTGTTGCACATTGTTCTTCTCCTCCCAGCCTGTACCCACACACATTCCACAGTTGGTGGAGCTTGACACACCGACGACTCACTTCTACTTCAATTCATCCTGGGGACTTCGCTGCAGAGGCAGCCAGCAAAATTATGCCAGGCAGCTGCTTACATAGTGCATTCTTAAAAGAATAATTAAAATACCAGGAGCAACGCTATTCTCCTTCAACTCACGAACGCCAAAAAGCATCAGGAACGAATCCCTGCACAGCATCACACAAGACACACATTTGATGCTGAGAATTGTGTAGCATTATTTACCAACAAAATGAGTTTAAAAAAAAAATCAATTAAGGTGGCTCATACTTAACTACGAAGTGTCTTCAGTTAGAACCCAATGCAAAACCAGACCACACACTTCAAATACACGAGCCAGAAGGGCCATTTCCAAGTGATGCCTTTTTAACTTTTTAATGCATACATACAGCGTACTTTCTAGTGTTTTAGTCATATAATTGAATTTTAAAAATTGGTGAATGGACAGTAGTTTACATGGATTACTGTATACATCCTACTTCCTGGGATGTGACATTACCTTTATCAAGTTTAACAGAGTATTTCAAAACAAACAAGTGATCTTTTCAGTATATGCACTGCAAAAACTGTTTAAGCTACAAATCACAAGCACAAAAGGACAGGCATTATTTTCAGCAGTAAATGAAACTCACAGCAGACAATTATTCAATAAAATACTTTTATTTATGTACACAGTGAAAGGTGTGGTACCATTCAACAAACACCGTACAAGAACCACCTTAATATGCTTCCCACTTCTAAACTCACTTCAAGTGGGAGTCTCCCTGAGGCTAAGGTGTCTTACGACATCAATATGGAATCAGTGTTAACAGGAAAAAGCAAAAAAACCCACTACTCTGAAAGATTTGGACATGAGTATTAGTGGAAGAAGGGCCCAACAGTACATGCTGAAAACGATTAGATAAAAGGACATCACTGCGGTAATATGACTGCTGCAAGATCACGGCCAGTATGCAAGAGTAAATATTACAGAAAAATTGGTGGGTGGGAGGCAAAACAATGACAGGTTTGGGGAAGAACATAACACAGGAGACAAATGGAGGCAAACACAGACTGTGATTTCGGAATGCTGTATGAAGACACCAAAAACCAGATGCCTGGCCAGGGTGTCTAGGTCAGATATTTTTCTTTTCTTAAAAAAAAAAAACCACCAACAAAAAAACCCCCACCAACCCAAACCCACACAGCAACAACAAAAATCAAAAACACCAACACTTCCCACTCCCCCACCCCATCATAGTTTGTTTTGTGTTGTTTTTTGGTGGGTTTTTGGGTTTGTTTTTTTTTTTTTTTTTTTTTAAAAAAAGAAACTTCAGCCAGAAAAAGTAACAGCACTCCTTGAATAAACCTGTCCAATACGAAAGCAGGATGAAGTCTCTGACAGTCACTCAGGGAAACAAAGAATTCACCCCAAATTTGTTATGCAAGAGTTCTGCAACTCATGGCAGCAGCACACCCTGCCACCTGATCAGCCACTACAGAGGCTGACTTTTTTTTTTCCACACGGGACTGGCTTTTAAGAGATGCCCAACGGGACTGGGATTAGTTTCACATTATAAACAAACTGATGGTTAGTCTACCTTTGGGTCAAAAAACAGCATTTAGTTGTAAAAGTAATCAGACACCAAAACCCTCAGTTCAAGAATCTTTCCAGTCTTGTGTCCATGCAATGAGACAGTCATCCACAAATATTAGCCAGAAAATCCTCTGGAAGGGAGCAGCCAGAAGGCAGTGAAGAAAACACTCGAGAATAAAAAAAAAAAAAAAAGAGGAGGCTTTGTGTAACAGAACTGGTAACTCCAACTCTAGGCCATGAAGAAAGGTTTTCTCTGTTTTCATGTCCTGTTTTATTTCTCGCTGGACTGTAAAATCCCCTCAAACCAACAGAAACAAAATGAGTGCTGTTATCTGCCTTTTTGGTGAGCTCTCTTGTTCCAGCAGGTCTAGCAGTGTTTAGGTGAACAGGTGCTCTTAGGTATTATTATATAGTTAAGACATGCAAAAGATTTGAGATACACACCCCCACGCTAAGATGCATACTAAAAAGAATGCCTCATTATATAAAAATTACTTTCATTAAAATATGTAAAATCCACTTAATAAAATCATACAAGTTAATAATACAAAATATCAAACTTTAGATGCCTGGTGCCACTGACACAACTATCCACCCGCCTGCTTGGACCGCCCTACTCTCTCCTTTCAGTCCCCAATTCACAGCTAACCCCAGCCCTCCATATTCTTTTATTTTAGCACGTAGACGCTTCACCTCCTTTAGCCAGCCAAACTTATTTCTCTTCCAATGCCTCCATCTGCTGTTAATATTCTTCACAATTCTGTACCTGCAATTTTTATCATTATTACCTTGTTTTGTCAAATCCAGACCCTTAAGTTTTAAGCTGTATAGAGCACACCAGCATTCTGACATCTGGTGACCTATCCTCCGCCTTCCCTCCAGGAGCTCCTGCAAGTGAGGTTTGGATTCTGCCTTTGGATCACATATTTGGGTTCTGTTTCTGAAGAATTCATCCCTCTGCTTTCTTCTGAAGTAGTTTTAACATGACTCTCCCACACACAACCCCTGCGCAGAGGTATGTAATTTCAAGCTTTAGAAAAGCCTTTTTTTCTATAGGATGGTGTCCAGACAGGTGACACTGCCAAAACCCTGCAAACCTCATTCTGGCCTGCTTAGAAATGAGAAGGTAGCACAAAATGTACATTTTCTCTGCTGCATATCTGCAGGAAAACAGACAGGGTTGCTGTGTAGAATTATTATGCCCTTCTCAGCTTAATTTTGAACAGGCAATTTCAGATATTCACCACTTCATCATTATCAACAAAATCTGGCTACACATTGTGACCTAACAGCAGGAAGTTTCCTCTCCCTCACAGAGCAGCTCTTCAACTCGGTGCTCAGGCAAAGTGCAATACAGAACACAGCAACCTGACTACTAGCTTCCTAGTTCTTAGGATAAAAATCAAAGATGGTCCCATCAAAAATTAATAAAATGGGGTTGTTTACACCACAGCGCTTCCCTTGCACATTTAAACCAGCATGCTCCACCACAGATCAGTACACAAAGCCTCTAACGCTCACCTTGACCTAAAATTCTTCACAGCTTGGGCTTGCCCAGCGTTACTACTTTGGAAAATAAATCTGTGTAACAGTCACTGCACAAAGTTTCAAATGACAGGCTTTGTATCCAACTCGTTCAAGGAATCAGTCCCTTCGCCATTCTCCTGCCACCAGGTGTCCCTCTCATCCACGGTGACCTTCACCCGCTGGCCAACCTTCCACCCAGCAGCCCTCAGATCCATAGTTTGTGGGAGAACATCCACCACAGTTTGCCAAGACCCCATCCACAGAGCAGCTCTATTCCTTTGGTAAAGGAAAGATCTAGCCATGTGGCAGATAAAGTGCCAAGGATTGTTAGTGTCACTTCTTATATTCTTCAAACTAAACAAAAATACTAAAAGAAAAAGTGAACTCCCAGAAGAGGTGACACGGGCATTCCTCCACAGAGGAGTCACTTCAGGTTCTAAAACCCTCTATACCTATTTCCAAAAATAAGAGGAACCATAACAGGAACACTAGTGGAACTAACTGCACGTGACCGCCCAAGTGGGACCTATAAAGAAATTAATTTTACTACTCAAACAGCAATCTTTTCAAGGATGAAACAGAATCAAACATTCTGTCCTTGCTTCTGCAGTAGAGACCCCTATGATTACCTAGCTAGACCACCAGCATAAGGAATACCTGCACCCCCACATGCATATTTGTGGTGGATATAAACTCCTCCCATACTGAGGGTAACCTGGAAACAACAAATCACTTGACAGTGAACACTCAGACAATTATCTTCCTCAATTGCACTTGAAAGACAAGGAAAAAACCCACAACCAACCAAAAAAAAAATCCCTGACAAAACCCAGCCATGACTGCATTCACCACTGACCAATGCAGCCACTTGAATGATTTAATGGCACTCCAGAACTAGGTACCCATGCATACCTAACTTGGGTCATAATTGATCTTTATGAACAACATCATTTCCAGTATCAGTATCTCTGACATATGGGATACAGGATTCAAGCTAAACTTGATTCAAGATGAGCTTAATAGGGAAATTAACTGTAAAGCCACTTTGAAGCATTAGGACAAAGGCTGCCACTAGAGACCATGTCACTACCGTATCTGTCCAACCTGAAAAATTTGTTGGCATAATTCATAACAAAGAGAATGAAGATCTTATGTTTACGCACATATGAAACACAATGCTTTTAAATACTTCTGGTGCATACAGAACACTACCAGCAAAGAATCACTGGTAAGCTTATTGCAAAAGCTTCTAGTTCACGGGCAAGGAATTAGTTCACATTACATTCTTCCACTGCCCGACTTGGAAACAGCTGCTTCAGTGTTACATCCTTTTCTTCTGATGTGTTTCACCATTTAATTTTCCATTTTCCATTGCTTTATTTTCAAAGTTCCAGTCAGTTGGGCTGAGGAGTTGCTGAGTTTTTTTGTATGTCCAGTATGGGTTAAGTATTAGTGTAACAGCAAATAATCCCGAGAATAAAACAATAAAATGAAGAAGTCCCAGATTTTCCATCACAGAATTCCAATTGAAAATACACACCCACCACATATGGTAAGAAAGAATCATGCGGCAGTGAAACAGGTGGATCATCACCCACTGGTTTGCCTTCCAGAAAAAGGTGTTAGCACAGCCAGCCTAGAAAAAGAAGAACAGAAAGTACGCAGAAGTGAGATTGTTACTTACTTCAAGATAAGGAATTGAGGAACCTGTGGAACTAATGCAAATATACAGCTTTCATGTGCACACTCGGGAATTTTTTCCACATAGAGCTCCGATATTCCACATGCATACAGCATCCCAAACTTAGAATGAATCTATACCACCTCACTATCCACATGCACACAGCATCACACAGAAACCTATCTGCAAGACGGCAAAAACGTCACAGCAAAAGCAGGTATCACAATAACACGGACATCAGTTAGAGGAATGCAGTTTTGCTGAAAAGCTGCCTAGTCAAACCACACAGATTACCTATGGGCAAGCGAGATGCATGAAAACTGTTAAACTGTTTGGAAAATAGCACATTCTTACCTTTAGAAGCATCCAGGAAATGCATGTTGAGGGAGTACTCATCTCCAGCAACATTCCCATCAAAGGCAGATAATGTCCAGATTTCACATTAATGACTAGACCAGCCAAGCCACCAAAAGCAAGCAAATGATGAACTACCAAGAACACATCAAATGTTCTAAAAATAACGTTGGACACGTGAACAGCTACATTTTCAAGCAAGAAAAATCCAGCAGCTATTAAACAGTTAAACCAACTCCACTTCTGCTGTGAATATACTTTGTCAGCATGAAAAACAGGATCTATGAGCAAAGCCCATAAACCAGCAACACAACTCTGAAGTCCAAACACACCACGTGTGACTGCCATATTCCAAAACACCTTCTCCTTTGCATACAAGGCACGATAAGTGGTACTCTTCCATGAAGACAACCAGTGAGACAGGAAAAATACTCCCAAGTAGATTAAAAAACCAGCAGCTAAAAACATCAAACGAACTTCCCATAAGAGATAGTCCCAGTCAAAAATGGTCCCAAACACTGGGTAATCATTTGTAGGATTCATTTCTTCTTTTTTACAGAGCAAAGCCTTCCAAGGGGCTTGACACTTCTCACTCGCACTATAGTCTCCTTTATGCCTATTCAGCCTCTGCTATTATGCAAACCAGAAACCATGAACTCTTCCATCTGGAACAAGGAGAAAAAAAAGTGAATTTTAAAGTCATCCATATAAATAGCTTCTAAACCACAGAGAACTCTATTCCACCACAGCTACAACTTTGGTCCTGTTGTCACTAGGCACAGTCATCCCCAGATACAGGTAGGCAGGGACTAAAAGTTTAAGCAACGTGTTCAAGATTAACACTTGGCCTGCAGTACCTGTATTGGTACGAAGCAACGCACTGACACAAAAACTGAAGGGGGCCAAGTAAGAAACCAAGAAAGAGGAAGAGAAAAAACAAGAAGCAAACCCTGTTTTCCCCTGGGAGATGGAAGCCGGGGAGGGGGAGGGTTGTATTTCAACAGCAGTGTGCAGTTATTCTCCAATTCCATTATTCCATTATTCACCTACTTGCCTGTTTTCCCCCCTCACTCTTTTTCCACCACCTCCTACAGCTGTGGGTGCAATTCAGAATCTCAAATACAGATCTGGGACATAAAACTACAAAAAACTTAATCCAGGAAGTGGGATCGCTTACGCAGAAAAGGGCTTTCAGGATCCTATCTAAAAACAAGTCTCTGCAATTGGTTTCTGAACATTAATCCAGTTTCCAACACAAAACATATTCCAAAAATGCAAGAAGAGGATGGAATGCAGACAAGCAACATTAATACATATTATTAACAAGATCAACGTAATTAACTGAACAGCTCAGCACTATGTGCCTCGAGTTAGCTGAAACTTCCCGAACACACCGTAGCTAAAAAAAGAAGCCAGATCATACTGAAAGACTTGAATGCCAGCTCCTTTTATGAACGATTTCGGTGATATCAGCACGAGGACTAGACAGACAGCAGCCTGTAAATACTCTGAACCACAGTGCGTTTGGGAGCTGGGTGCGAGCGGAGGGAAGAGCCCCAGCTGAGATGCTCCCGCCTGGCTCCACGGCAAATGCCACCACAACCCAGAGGCTGCAGGCACCTGCCCACCCTGGCCTTTGCTCGCAGATGCCCCTCTGCAAGACGGGGGCAGGGACACACACACGCGACTATCTGGACAGGAGGGCCAGCCCCGGCCCGAGGGTCCTACGGCCGCCCCACACCAGACAAGACGAAGTCCCAACAGCCAGGCTGCCCCCCGCCCCTCCTTCCATCCCCCAGAGGAAAACAGGGGTAAAGCACTAATCCGAGGGCACAAACAGGCCCTGAACAGCGCAACCCACCGCGGCCAGCCCTGGCTCCAGAAGGGCCGCGACTGCTCCTCCGCTCCCACACACACACCGGCAGCGCCAACC